TGTGTGTGTGTGTGGTATGTATAAAGATATATTATATACACATGTATATGTATGTATGCATATTAGTTTTGGCAACTTGTGACCTTGCAAAACTCCCTTTTTAGTTCTAGAAACATTATTGTAGATTCTTTGTTATTTTTTATGTCTATGATAATGTGGCCTGAGACATAAAATAATTTTTATTTATTTCTGATATACATTGTTTTTATTTACTTATTTTTCTTACCTTATTACTGCGCTACAACTTTCAGTTGAAGAAAAATTGTGAACGTACATACAAAGGTCATGTCTTTAGTCTTAGAAGGGAATTTTTCTGTCTTTCACCATTAAGGGTAATGTTACCTGAAAGTTATTTGTAGATATTGCTTATTGGTTAAGGGTTATGTTTAAAAATATTTGTCATGAGTTAATGTTGAATTATATTTGTTGCCTTAGGATGATCAATCAAATTTTCATTTCAGTCTGTAAATAAATGAAACACATTGGTTTAATCGACTTTGAATGTTGAACCAACCTTGAGTTTTTAAATAAATTTTCCTCATTATGTTTGGTATATTGATGGACCAGATTTGCTAATATTTTATTAGCTGTTTGTGTCTATTTGTGAGGGTTATTATTTTATGATTTTTTTTTGCAATATCTTTGGTTTTACTATCAAGGTAAATAAGAATTCATAAAATAATGTGGTGAGCAATCTGTTGCTTTCTATCTTCTAGGAGAATTTGTGTACAACTAGTAGCCTATCCTTCTTGTATATTTGATGGAATTTATTAGTAGAACTGTCTTGACCTGGGTTTCTCCTCATGGGAGGATTTTTAACTATATATTAAACTTTTCTCAGGGTTCAGGGTTTTTTAAGTTTTTCCATATGTGGGCTTTGGTAGCTTTTCACCTTAAGGAATTTAAGTTTTCATCTAAGTTGATTCTTTTTTTTTTTTTTTCTTGTACCAGGGATGGAACCCAGAGTTGCTTAACCACTGAGAAACATCCCCAGCCTGTTTTACATTTTATTTGGAAACAGGATCTTCATGCATTGCTGAAAAGCTCGCTAAGTTGTTGCAGCTGGCTTTGAACTTGCGACCCTCCTTCCTCAGTCTCCTGAGCCATTGGGATTATAGGCATGAGCCACCATGCCTGGCCTGTTGGATTCTTTTTAGTGCTATACAAAAAGGAGTCTCCTTAAATATTAGACATGTTAATTTTTTTGTGTGTGGGGGGGATACTGGGGATTGAACCCAGGGGTACTCTGTCACTGAGCCACATACTTATTCCCTTCCCCACATCCTGCCCTTTAAAAAAAAAAAAAGACAGGATCTCACTAAGTTATCCAAACTGACCTCAAACTTGTGATCCTCTTCTCTCAGCCTCCTCAATACCTGGGATACAGGTGTGTGCCACCACATCTTGCCTTATTCAGTTATTTTAAATTTGTGTCTGATAGCACCAATTTCCCTGGGATTAATTTTGCTGTCAGGTTTTTTTACCCTCATCTTCAGAATTTTTGTCTTATCTTCTAAGACAGATCATTTTTATTGAATGTTGGACAATGTGTATGAAAAATTATAGGCGTGATGTGAGGCTTGGCATTACCCTCCTCAAGAGAGGATTTATTCGGCTTCTAGTAGGTGATACTCTTAGGGACAAATCACTTCAGATGAGCTTGCTGGAATATGGGTGGTTTTTCTTTTGCTACTCATCCTTACTCCTAGAGAACAGTGGTTCAGAAATCCTACCTGACAGATGGGAGGGACATTCCTTGATGGCTCTGAAATGTAACTGGAGTAGTCTCAGCTGTGAGGTGACTGTAAATTCCCTTTATGTTCAGTCTCTTGACCACCATCAAAGTTGGAAAAGCCTCGAGAATGAAGGTCAGCTGAATGTGTCTGCTCTTCCTTCTCTTTACAAGGCTGAATTTTGAATTTTTGCCTAGAAAACCCTCTAATTCTTTCAGTCAGGTATTCCTTTTCACATTTCTACCTAGGTTTTCAAATTTTCTTTGGTGGGAATGACGGTCTGATA